GGCGGCGCCCAAATACTCGGTGCCATGGTATTGATACATCAGCGGCAGGGGCGAATTGTTTAGCTTGCTGTACTCGCGCCCGCTGGTCACGATCAGCTGGCAAATGGAGACCAGATCGTCGTCGGTTATCTTCTTCTCTGGCAGCACATCGTTCAGCCAATAGCAGCCGGATAGATAGCCGGCACGGCCCACCAGCACCTCGTCGCAGCCGTATTTGGTGTGCATGAACTCCTTGCTAGAGGGTATGCCCGACTTGAAGTTGGCCAAATCGTTGGACAGCTCCTCCGTGTTCTTGGCCTCCTGCGAGATGGCCGCCGAGACGGCATAGATGCCGGCATTGCCGCACAGAAACGAATAACGCTCCGCGGAGCGTTTCTTGTAGCGCTTGGCATTCGCCTTGGCATTGCGTATAAAGGCGGCCGCATGCTCCAGGGCTGGATACAGATCGCGCGTCTGCTCGCAGCTGTGCAGCTTCCAGAACATGTAGGCAATGCCCGCATTGCCCACATACAAGTCACCGCGATTGTCCTCCTCGTCGCTATTGGGATGGCAGTGCTCCAATATGGCGTCCACATAGGTGCATATCAAGGTCTTGATGTGCTCCTCATCTGTGGCAAAGGGCGTATTCTCGCCGCCCGAGAAGTCCGCAAACGGATTCTTTAAATAACGGCGCTCCATCTCCCAACTGTGACTGTCCGTCTCCTCCGCCTCTTCCACCGGCTGCGACACTTGTCCCTGCTGCGCTACGTTCCCCGACGCTGGCTGCGCAATTGTGCCTAACCAACAAAAAAAAAAAAGGACTTTTTTTTGTGTGTTATCGTAAATCGATTTGCCGACGGCGCCGGGCGCAGGGCGCGGCCCGCCGGCAGCGGCGGCGGCGTCTGCCGGCACTTACCCTTTTCTGGTGTTGGCCGTGACTTTGAACCAATTGAATAGCTTCTGCTCGCTGCTGTTCTGCACACCTGCAACACGTTTATGCACTTAATAATAAACAACTAAATTATAATTCATAAAATGTAACGAATTGTGTACTACCAAAATGAATTGTGTTCTGTTCTATTGTTCGGTTGCTAGTGCTCGAGTCACGAAAATCTTGTTTTAATTATACATTTGTGACAAATTCGACACTCGATCCAAAGCCAACCAGTTTTAAGCTCGTAAACCTTTTAATATCTCTGCAAATCGAATTTCGCATTGTCCTGCCGACGTTTACACATCGTTGACTATTTTTTGCGATATCTTATCGATATATCGCCTAGTTGGCAATTTATGCAAACAGCTGTCACATGCCAGTATCGGCAAATTACGCGAATGCAAATAATTAATTGGTAACGGTTTTTTAAAAACTTGTAGGTTTAAGAGCAGTTAATGTGCAATCATTTGTACAATCAGTGTTACCAGCTGTCTAGACAAAAAAAAACGCTGAACGCAATGTGAAAACAACTAAAAATAGCTGAATTAACTTGACAATAAAAAGGGCAACCAGTCTACAATTTTAATGTTTCCTGCTGACCACATCGAGTAGAAAGAAAATATTTAGGAGCAAAAAAAGTAGATAAATTGTGTTTTCGTTAAGACACAAAAAATCTAGTCCCCAGAGCCGACTCAAAACAAAAATGTTATAATAATAAGAAATCGGTTAACCAATTCCAACAACTACTGAGTTGGCAACCCTGTGGCCAAATCGCATAACGTTAATCGCTGCGTAGCATCGATACCGCTGCTATTCGTGCACAAGCATCGATACTTTTGCTGTTCATGCACAAGCATCGATGGCAACGCTTATTTACGCAATTTTCAAATGAAATCATGCAAATATTTCATTTTTTTTGGCCTTTTAAGCCGACATAGCTTTATTTTAATGTTTGTATATCATAAGTTATTAGTTTTACTGCATCACAACTGCTTTGGTATAACTACTTTCGACGATTGCCGCCCAATATAGTGGCGATCCGTATGAATATATTCAATACGTCCATGTAAATGGACATTGAACTGAAAAGAAATCACACATAAGAAACACAGAAATCGGGGCAATTTATTTACTCACGCATTAATGGGATCAAAAGGCGCCACGGCATACTGTGGATACACCTCGGCCTTGCGCACCAGTCGCTGCGTGTCGTAGAGCAGAAAACCGCTGAAGAGCACGAGGCCGCCGTAAAGGGACATTGAAGCCAAGCCTAAAAAAGGAAGCATGACGATGAGCATGAGCACGGGCATGTGTTTAATAATAAGTTAATTGTCCACTTACCGGCGCCAATGACGGTCGTGGGTGGCAGCCACATCGAAGCCAGGGACGAGGCAAACACAACACCAAGGCCGATGGCCAGCGGTCCGCCCATATACAAGAATTTATCATTTGGAGCACACGCAGCGATCGTGGACAGGCCACCGACAATGCCTCCAGTGTAGAGTGCAGCGCGCGTCATTATCGGACCGCCCAGGAAGCACAAGGGCGCAATTACACCGCCCAAAATGGCGCAGTGCAGCGCCCAGGCGAGGTGCTTCGGCCCCAGACCCGGCTCATACTGCATGGAGCGCGTGAGTGCGCCGCTGCCGACGACGAGCGCAAGTGAAGCGAATGTCCACTACGAGAAATCAATATATATGTATGTGTGCATGTCTCTGTGTGCGTGTGTGTGGGTGTAATGGATGTCCCGCATTGGAAACTTACCAGCAGACCGCCCCGTGAGGCCAGCGAGAGTAGGCGTGGCGAGCGGAACACAGCCGCCGCGGAGGCAGCCGTCACTATACAGGAGCCCCCAAAGAAGGCGTAGCTGGACTGAATGCGTTCCTTCACATATTGCGGCCACATGCTGTTGAAAAAGCGTTCGCCAATTATGAAATTGCACTCGAATTGATATAAAAACAAGAATGTTTACTTTCGGCACGCCGAAGCTCAAATACCCTTGTGGACATATAGCGCTCAGCTTTGCAGATATTTGTGGAGAATTGTGCAGCCGGCTGACTTTGGTAAAGATGTCTTGCAAATAAGAAAGGTTAACTGATCGTTTCTATATCAGCTATGTAATATAGTTATCCAATCCAATCAGTTATTAGTTTCTATAGAACAGAATACGATATATAGAAGATTTGAGGGCCAGATTTAGATGTCGATGAGATTAGACCAAGCTATGACTGTGGGAAACTTTGACCTATGTCCGTATTGGACAGACAGATCGACCAACGATTATGGCTATATATATATATACATATATGGATACATCGATTTAGGAAATTACAAGTGCCAGACATTTAAAATTTAAAGAGTACGTCCACCTTAAACATTTGTTTTAATTCTCAATACCTTGCCTCATGTCTATTAAACTGATATAGAGATTCTGTTTAAGCATAAAACAAGCTCTCTATAGATAGAGAAGTTTATAGCATATGTATATCTCTTGTAGTAAATACAGCTTGATAATATTTCCCTCTTTGGAGACCACCTCCCAAAAATCAGAAAAGCAACTCAATTTTAAGGCTGGAGCCTTGCGCTTTAGTAACCTTTTGTATGGCAATTAATTTCATGAAGATCGGACAATATAGCCCGAAGTTAAAGAGGAACATATTGCCCATAATGTGGGGATAAGTGAAGGAAGAGAAAGGAAGCTGCGCTGTCTGTTTTTGTGACTGTATGCTAAGAGTATAGAATATTATACAATATATAGAATATTATCATATATATAGAATATTATATTATATATAGAATAATTGCAGCTCTGAGCAGAATTCAGGGTATCTCTTAGTCGGGCTACTAAACAGCAACCACAAAAAAGGCAACAATTGCTCTATTCGGACTAAAAGATACCCTGAATATTAAATGGAATTCTAATGCAACAGCATTTTAAACTTATTTTTCCCATAAATAAGGGCTTTTCCGAGCATCTTCGCAGTCAAGTCAAAAGGGAAAATCAAGCTTTTTGCAATTCTGCATGACTGATTCGCATTTGTTAAGATTTAAAGGCACCCAATGATCGAGTCCGGCAGGAGTGAGGAGTGCCCCAACTAGTCACCTACTGGAGGAGAAGCGCGTACTCACATGGCGTTGTCCGCAATGCTTGTGTGTTTGCCCATGCCGATGCCGTAGTAGCAAAGTGCGCCGAGGCCCACGACGGCGGCTCCGGCGGCAGCGCCTTTGCCCATCGAATAAGCTGGAAAGCACAGAAACAGTTTATATAATTACGCAAGTGGAGGCGGGCAGCGGATGCACTTACCGTTGGCACTTGGCGGCGCCATTAGCTTCTCCTTGAGGGTGGGTGCACGTGTCTGTTCGACGGCCACGGGATTGCGTGTGTTGCGCACGGGATGGCGTGCATAGTTGCGCACTATGTTGAGGCTGGGCTTTGATTTGAGGAAGGCCTGCGAAGATTTGCCCAGCAGGAGGCTCCTCGGGCGAGCTGTCGACAATGCAAGTCGTAGCAACATTTTCTTGTTGTGATGAAATTCGCAGTAGTCGGTAGATTTTTCGTTGGAGCCAAAAATGTAATTTTATAGCAGCTGTCGCTGTTCTTCTTCGATTAATTTAAATGGTTTGCTGTAGGCATATTTTATGAAAACTATTATATTTGTTTTGAAAATTTCTAGAAGTTCCTACTTACTTGCTAGCACTTCGATACTTGAATGTACGTTTGACGACTTGAAGATGTATCGATATATATATATATATATATATATAGCAAGTTCATGCTATGGCTAGGTGTGTGTAAAAGTATCGTTCAAAATAAACGATAAGGTTGGCAACGCGATGTCTTCAAAAATTTTAAATTATATCGCCAATAATGTGTATGACAATAATTGGTAGCTGGTAATTGCCTTTTGTTAGCTTAAAATTGGCATCTGCATATTTTACTACGATTTCCGAATTGATTTTGGTCAATAATGTATTTGATGTTCCCATGGCAGCTATCGATAAGTCTAAACGATGTTAACTGTATTGCTAGTGTAAAACATCCCTGTTTAACACAAATGGCGCCTAGCCAAAAACAAATTGCGATTAATTTAATTTTGTTAAATTCAATTTAATTATGCGCATCACACATACAATATTAAGGACACAAAGAATACATTGCGATACAGCTGATTTATGACTAATTATGGCCTAATTGATACAATCACACTACAAATGCGCTGCACACACAGCAATATAACGGGATGTAACGGCTGCGCTTACACCTGATATTTTCGAGCGGGCGGTCGCCGATCCTTGCCGATGACAATCAGCTCGGTCACGTGTGATTTGCGCAAATTACCAGTATGATCATACGTATTCGTTTGTTCTAGCTCGCCCTGCGCATTCGACTCGTACGTCTTGCATTCGTACATGGGACAACACTTGGGATAGTCCTGATTGGCTTCAGTCGGCGGCAGGACATTGCAGGTGCCCTTCAGTGCGCCAGGCACCTTGCAGCTGCAACGGCAATGCAATTGCAATCGGAATTGATACTTGGGATACTCCAAACGCTCACCTGTCCTCCCACAGTTGCAGCGTGCCCAGACACTGTACGCGCACACATTGGCCGGAACGCGTAAAGACCTCACCCACATATAGCTGGCGTCCGCTCAGCGTATCGCTGCAGTACTGCGGATTATAAACGTATGCTGCCGGATGCTCCAGGTGAGTGAAAAGCCAACGCTATCAGCCTTAAGAGCTCTCGCATACTTACAATGAAATGGCGGCGTTGCCCGGCTAATGCCCATGCAGATCACAATTATGAATCCCAGCAGGCATGATCTGGCTGTGGAGTAGTCCATTTTATTTAATATATAACTCGACTGGATGCTGTTTGGCTAATGAGCCCGGCCCGACGTTTGCAAAGTTTAGTGCGCAACTGAGACGAATGCGGCGGCCCGAGTATTTAATCTTTCTTCAGTTCCTACAAACACATGTAGCTTATACATGTGTGAGTGTGTCTGTGTGTGTGTGTGTGTGTTTGTGGGTGTGCGTGTGCCTGTGTGTGTAATCACATGTACTTACGACATTTGCGCGCTTTCTCTACTGGGAATTTAACAATTTATGTATATGAAATGTGTTGATGTTTTTATATGCTTATCGCTTGGCCCGCAACGCAGAAATGCTGAAATAAAACAAACATCAACTATGGACTGTGGCACGACTACGAGCTACCCTGCCATTAAAGTCTCCAGTTCGAGCAGGTCCCTAAGAAGTATGCTAAGCATGGGAGAATTCGGCCAATATGTTTTGCAGCGACAAGCGTGAGTTATACAGGACTCTATTGATGATCTGTCATGCGTGACGTCTTGCGGGACAAGTCAGCTACGTTGTCCTTAAGCGATGCAACAAATATTATGCTGACTAAACGCTGGCATTAATGTTGGATAACGCACAGTTACGCAGATTTTTGTACGCTTTTCGAATAACAAATGCAGGAAATTTAACCTATATCTATGTAAGGTAAGGTAAAATATAACCCACCGGGTCCCTGATTTCCCATCACTATCTCTTTATACTATCTACTTAATACTCTAAATATCTTTAATAAATTCCCTTACTTTTCCTAACCTTAAATAAATAAATCCTTGCTAAGGACGTCATATAAGCTCATGGCTTGCCAACGAAGACTTCACCAATGAGCTAGTCATAAAGTCGAGGTCTAGGCGTTGTCATCGAGACGCCCAATAAGCCAGACACAATCAATGACATGTCATTAGGAACGCCATGCGGGCATTCCGTCAAGGTTCACATATCCATATACATACATATATGCAGCATGAGCAGTGTGAGTGAACCATACCGCAGTTGATGATAATATATTAAAATTTGTCTTAATTGCAGGCTGTAGTCAATATACCCACAATGGACGGATCATTGAGGAGTATCAATCATAACAAATTCAGATCAATATGCAAAATGGCAAAGCACTCGAACCTACAATGTTCACGAGCATGTATGTACATATGTATATATCTGAATGCATGCATGTATATTGTGTGCGTATGTGCTCTTTAAAGTTAAATGTTAAGACATTGTTTATAAATATTTTAATTCTCTTGTAGACTGCGCACCGTCTCGCAGCATGCGGCATAATTATCGTTGTGTGGGGCAATGGGCCACTGGATGTGAGTCAGGCCCCGGACAACGGCTGCTTGCTTATACGGGTGCTTTCCCCATTTCGAATTTCGTGGGGGCTACCTTCACGTGTCCCCTAAGCACATTTCTACAATTTTACATTTTACACGTCTTCATTCAGTAGAATTATCGCTTGGCATTTGGCGATTAGCGTAACCCAATGACGACTTATCAATTTCAAGACACGAGATAACCGCAACGACAGCGCCCTTTGACCCGCGCTTAGCTGGCCTGCTGCGGCTGCCATTGGGCAGTTGTTCGTTCGCATCGTGCGAGTGTTCGCACGACTGAAAATGCTAAAATTTCCGTCACACTCGCAATTTCCTGCACAAATCCATAGAGTTGGTGCAGCATCCTGGCTGTGAGCCAGGCTCTAGCCGTTGGCCGGAAACGGAAATGGAAATTGTCACAAATTCTTAATAGCCCTATCAAATGTGCGTTGATGATTGCCTCGGTTAGCTGACGGTTGACTCATCATCTTCGCTCCCCTTCATTCGGCTCTGCGCGGCCAGACAGCCAGACAAAACGCTGCTTACTTTCAAGCGCTCGCATTTCATTTGATTTAGTTCGCTGCATACTTTGCCCGTGCTTTTTATTACTGTAAGGGAATCTTCTAAATTGCATATGCAAATACTCAGCGCGCATTAAAAACATTCTAGTTGCCTTCTATGCATGCATCCACTAAAATAGGCCTCACCCACACCCCCCGTTGTGCTTCCTCTTCGCTTTGCCCTACACCTCGATTAGCTTCTCTGTTTATTGTTCGCTTTTTATTAAGTTTTTAGAACTTAAATATGATATACAAAAGCATACCAAAGCTAGTTGCTTCCAGCCTCGAGGGTGTATAGATGAATATTATTTGGTTTATACTATACGAGAAACTACATAAAAACTAAAGGGTATCTTGCTCTCAAAATGTTGATGTTATGCTTAAAAACCATGTGTCAGAATATTTATCTATATTGTATTCGTTTTGTGTATGTTATAGGTTCGTATATATATCAAATGTTATGTTTCAAGCTTTTGTAGCTCTCCAGTTCACACAGTTTGATAGGTAGACAGACCTTTTATGACTCGGTTATGCTTCCTTTTGCCCATTTTCAATGGGTTTTATGGTATAAAAAACGCATTTCGCTTGGGAATCCGGTTAAGATTTGCCAATGGGAATTTGGTCGTGCAAATGTTGGTTTTTTTTTTGCAAAAATTTTCGAGAAATAAGCTAAACAGCTGGCTGCTGACTGATTGACTGACTGATTGATTGACTGATTTGGCTGATTTGTAGGTGACGTTTACCCAAGCAAAAACAGAAGCTTAAAGATCAATGGGCTCTTAAAGCACTTCAAGCAGATGAGTTTTCGTTTTGCAGGCAACTAAGAAAATATGTCTGTGTCATAGTGTTGGCCAATAATTAGCCGAGAATGTCAAATCACTTGCTGTTAATTGTTGTTTATCGAGAGTAGAGTCGAACTAATCGTTGTTACAGCTCGGCATTGTGCTTTGAATAGTGAACTTTGAGCTGCATAAGTCCAGCTGGAAGAGTTGTCTCATTTTCGGTGGCACTTTAAGCATTAGTATAACTATCCAGATACCTTTGTGCTCTGGAATCGCCCATGACGCTTGGCTAAATGCGGGGTCTCTGTCTACGTTAACCGAAGTTTCGTCGCGTCGTTCTCCGCGTTGTCGTCGCTGATCGTCTTGCTCTGGCTTGCGACTTCGGCTGGGGTTGTTTTTATACCCTGTACACATGGAAAATGGGCAAATAGGCCAAAATGATTTTGTTTAAATGTATGTAACAGGCAGACGGCAGCAGCTCGACGACCATGAATTATATATACATATATGTTTCTGGACGAGACAACAAGCTGAGTCGACCAGGCTATGTCCGTCTGTCCGCACGTCTAGAAACTGGAAAATGTTGTTAAATATCGATTTGGTTTCGTAAGCTGATTTGAAGTTTTTCGGAGCTAGTGTATGCATATTAGGAATATTTTACATTTCGGCATAGGAAACTTATATTACTTATATTTATATTTATTTGTATAGGTAGAGCCTTGCGCTTTGGTATACACACAGTTTTCTATACCATATATAACCCTTGAAAATATCATAACGATCGGACTATAAGTACCGAAGTTCTTCCAGAATGCGTTTCCCAAGCAAGCGACATGAGTTCGCTTGTAAAGGGAAGCTAGAATCTTTGTAAACGACAGCTCGTCGCTTGGTCCACGGTATCGCTTAGTCGGTCAGTTCAGACTTGAGACTTGACTTGTTTTTGGAGCTGTCGCAGTCGTTGTCGCAGTCGCAGTCGCCGGTTGCCGCTTGTCGTTTGTCGTTTGCCGTTTGCCGGTTCCATCAGTTAAGCGACGATCGCGGCACGGTTAAGTACGCAGCGTTCAGATATAAATACATAGCCACGGGCTGCAGATACATTTGTGCATATAAAGATACGGCTGTGACATATGAGCCGCGCGAGTCTCTGAAGTAGCTTTGAAGTTGAGCCAAGCCCCTCCCAACCTTCCAAAAAGGGCTACAATCAAATGCAATTAAGCTGCGCTCGAATCAATTCTCAGCTAATTGAATTAAAGCGCGTGAAGAGCTCCTTCCCAACCCCCTCCTCCCATTAACTGTCCCCTGCTATGTGGGCGAGTGTTATTCAAAGCCCGACTCCGAAACTCGGACTCCATAGCCTCCTCCGAGCTGTAGCCGAGAAATTTGAGAACTTTGCCCACGGAGTGCTGTGAAAATATACCAAATGCAGATGGGCACAAACAGAAATTAACGCCAAAACGGAATTGCTCGCTAATAGAATAATGCGAATAATTAATTAATTACGGGCAAATTTTTTGCACCATTTTTTTTGATGCAATTAAAAATGTTTTCTGTGCATTTTCTCTTGCATTTTCGCGCGCCTAATTAGTGATTTATTTATTATTTTTATTTATAAATGTTTTTTTTTTTGTGGTTTTCATTTTTCTCTTGTGCTGTGTTTTTTGGAGTTAATTAATAAAGCGGCATTTTAACAATTTATTGTTGTTGTTGTTGTTTTAAGTGCGAATCGGCAAATCAATTGCATTTCATGAATATATTCCCGCCGCAGGAATTTAACGCTATTCCCCAGCGATTCCATGCGGTTTCATCTTAATCCGCATTTATGCATCTGTGTGGAGAAAGTGAACCCCCAAACTCCCCAAACTCCCAAATCCCGCTGACATTATCGCTCTATCAATAAGGCTTTAAATTGGGGGGGAAATTTGTAGTTTTTGTGGCTTGTTTTACGCATTATAATTGCTCTGATTATTTGATGATTAAGTTTTATGTTTATTGATTTAGATATAAATACGCCAAAAATGTTGGCTAGATTCTCCCTGCTTGATTATGATTTCACTTTCCCCTTATTCGGCTCGAAATCGAAGTTAGAACCTTAAGCCTTTCAATTTTCATACAGATCGGGCAATATGCAACGAAGTTAACAGGGACTGGGGCGAAAGGGAAGCCTATAGAAAGAAGCTAGCGTCTTTGTGCCGGCAGCTTGATCCAAATCCTGTTCAATCTGTGTGCTATATAAAAAGTAATATAGATTATATTTTGCACATTTATCATTATCATGATTAATCATTCGATTCATATCTGAATCATTTGCAATCTTTTGTATGCTCAGCAGAGAAAACAAACTTTTCCCTGGTTTATTAACTGTGCTCGTATTTCAGGAGATTCCAATTCTAATTCGATTTTTAAGTTAGAGAGCAGCTCTTTGGTTGCGAATTGTTTTTGTAGATCGGATCAGATCAAACATTGGTACATTGAACTGTTTTGGGGCAATTGGTTTAGTTTATTATTGTTGCGTGTTTGTTGATTAACATAATATGTTAATTCATTTATATGCATATGCCGATACGTTTCTGATTTTTCGAGTTTTTCGTTTTCAATTTCAGCAAATTGTGCGCTAAAATGTAAATGCAAAAACGTCGAGCAGAGCTTCTTCAACCACAGCAACGAAATCGAACGACAACAAATTAGAAACCAGCCCAGAGACAGACAGACGCACACACACTCGGACACGCACAACCATTCGCGCACACACACACAGACACACCGTGCTCAAAGTCAGAGTCGGACGGAAGGCAGCTACGCCCCGTTCCGCCCGCCGGAACGCAGAGACCCACTTGGAACTTGGCATTGCCGAGGCGTAGGTCGAGTTTTATTTTTGTGCTCCAATGAACATTTGAATTGTGGACTATGTTTTGGCGAGAAGATGCAGCACAGCAGCAACAACAACAACAGCAGCAACAGCCGCCGCATCCACCCAAACGCTTGAGCTTTAGTTTCAATGTTAAAATCGCTGTTAATGTGAACACCAAGATGTCCACGACTCACATCAACCAGGAGCGCTCAAAGCAGCAGCAGTCCAGATCTCGTTCCAGTTCCAATTCCAATTCCGATTCCGTTGCCAGTTCAAAAGGCGACGGCGATCGCCGTGTTCGGCGGCACACAACGCGGCTTGTGGGCCTGCGCCAGCAGCTGCTGCATCTGGGACGTCAGCTGAACCCTGGCCAATTCTCTGTGTCGGGTCACGGCGGCATTTCCACGATACTAATTGCCAATCTGCTGCTGCTGCTGCTGCTCTCGCTCTGCTGCGATGTCTGTTGCCGCTCCCATATCGAGTCGGACCAAAATTTGACACCAACAACAACATCACCAGCTGCAGTTGCAGTAGCTCCGATGTTGCTGCCAATGGCCCAGACCCATATGCGACCCCAGCTGAACAGCGATGTGGTCGAGAAGGTGGCCGTTTGGACAAAGCATGTCGGTGCGGCGCCACCCAGCATCGCCGAGGGCATTGCCATCAGCAGCGTGGTCAGAATGCCACCCAGCATCCAGACCCCAACCCAAAATGCCCGCAGGCAAGAACAACAACGACAGCAGCAGCAGCAACAAGAGGAGGCTGCGGCAGCGGCTGCGGACGCGGCCATTGATGAGCGCATCGTTCTGGAGCGCGTCACCCGCGAATGTGTGCAGCGCTGCATTGTGGAGGTGAGTCGCTAGTTGGATAACGGGGGGTTTAAACTATAACTAAATGAAATTTTTATTGTTATTGTGACCTTGAGCCACGTGCTTGTGCACCGTAAGTACAGTTTAGTATGTCCGTTATTCTATACTTCCTGGCAAAGCTCATGTTAGAAGACTGATCCCTTGAACTTATCGATACTTACTTGGCTTTTGGCTGTCACAATGCACTTGGCTTATCTTTAGTGTTCTTTAATATTCTTAAGGATTTTCTATTTATGGCAGAGCTTTGTTTGCATTAACTTAACTTGTTCAGACCTATATTTTATCTTCCTGACAAAGAACATGTTAGTGAATTGAACCCTTAAACTTATCGTAACATACTTGCTTTGGGTGTCACAATGCACATGGCTTACCTTGAACGTTTTTTAATATTCTTAAGCATTTTCTAGTTATGGTAGAGCTTTGTTTGCATTAACTTAACTTTTTCCGACCTTTATATTTTACTTCCTGGCAAAGCTCATGTTAGTTAAATGAAGCACAATTGGCTTTAAGCTAGAGCTCTGGCAAGCAAAGCTTTAAGGACTTATGACTTAAAGATTTCTTGGTTCTGGTAGAGCGAAGAAGCCTTAAAGGTATTTATATATTAACTCTTTTATAAACTTAACTTGTTCCGACCCTTATATTATACTTCCTGGCAAAGCTCATGTTAGTGAACTGAACCCTTAAACTTATCGTAACTTCCTTTATTTGAGTGTCTCAATGCACTTGGCATATCTTAAATTTTCTTTTATATTCATGAGTACTTCCTAGTTATGGTAGAGGAAAGGAACCTAAAAACTTTGTTTTCGCAAATTTAACTTGTTCAGACCTTTGTTTGATCTTCCTGGCAAAGCTCATGTTAGCCTTTTATTATGTTAGTTTACTTGATTTGGGTATCATAATTCAATTGGCTTTAAACTGAAGGCTTAAAGGACCCAAGACTAACGCTTACTTTGGCCTTTAAGAAAAAAGTTATGCGTCTTTGAGACTCTTTAATATTTTGAGGACGTCCTAGTTCTGGTAGAACAAAAAAAGCCTTAAAGCACGTTTTCGTAAACTTGACTTCTTAACTAAGTTTTATCTTCTTGGCAAAACTCATGTTAGATCCAATTGCTAAGCCTTTTGAAAGACTCTCAAGAAGTTGGTAGATATACTCATTTGCAGCCTGGTTAGATAAATAAATAAAATAAGTGGAATTTCGATTTTCGATTGATAAACTGGAAACAGAGTATCGGGCAGTCGTTTGCATCCCCTTGCAATGTCTCTTACTTGCTTTCTTTTCGAGTTCTTATTGAACTTTGGTAGACTTGAAGAGACGCTGCTTCAAGGTGCATTTTTTCACCTAACTTCTTTTAACGATGTTTTTTCTTGGTTTATGCGATGTTTTTTTGTTCTTGTTGGTTTTTGCAATGTTTTTTCTTGGTTTTTGCGATGCTTCTGCTTGACTTTTGCGCATCGCAGCAGTTCAATTCATACGCAAGCCCAAAACGTGCCAAGATGCACAAATTGTTTGGGATTGGCCAATTGAATGACTGAAGAAAACTGCAAGTTAACGACAGTTGAGCTTAGTCACATGTCGGATCCCATTGAAATCTGTCGCACTGCCCAGCTCTGAAGCCCCTAATTAAGCGATCCATGTGTATTATGTGCATATATACTGTCAAGTTTCGTGATTATAGCCCGTTGGGTCGCTTGTCATGTCAAACGGGCACTTAAATCAACAGAATCTACAATTTAGATTCTAAACAACTGTCACTGAGCTGTTATATGTAACAGCTTCGGCGCATGTATCTCAGCTTCTGTATCCCGTATCTGTATCTATATCTGTGTCTGTATCTGTATCTGTGTCTGCATTTGTATCTGTTGGGAAGCTTTATATTTGGGTTACCTTCGCTTTATTGCAATTTGCATGAGTGCACATTGTGTGGGCCGTTCCAGAATTCTCTGGACTGTCTGCTCCATGAGGAGGCCAAAGTTGCCAGTAACTGCCGCTAGCTGGCGCCAGCTGGCATTCAGTTTGGGGCTATTTGGCTTGATTTAGCTATTAATTGCTTGCGCCCAATATCACCAAATAGAATGAAACAAATTGGACACATATATCATCATCTTTTGTTCCCATTTATATATATATATATATATGTATACCATATAGATACCATAATAGATATTGTCGCGCTGCTTTTAATTAGTTTCTCGGCTAACTCGCCGCAACTGCTCACGTATCTGGCATAATTAAAAAATTATTTAAGTGCTCTGCGTTTGTTCTTTTTTTCCCTCTTTTTTTTCTGCTTGTTTTTGTTGTGTTTTGCAATTGTTTTTGTAGCACGCTTGTTTTTATCGCACTTTTGTTTGAAAATTCCCAATTGCACAACGCTGCACAATAGATGGCGCCACAAAGGCGCATTTCCTGGCAGTCCAGGCCGACATTGTTCTCTCCTCTCGCTTTTGTTGTGCGATAAACAGCTATCGATACACATTATCGATTATGGACAGCCAAATGCTTGCTTTAACTTTTACAGCGAGTCCTGCGAGTAAATGAGTAAATGTGGGGAACAAATTGGGTTCAAAGAATTCGGAAATTTTAATATCTATCATGTGATAAACTTGTTATCGATAGGTATTCATTTAGTAGGGCGAGTACTTAGTATAAGTTACGAGACTCTCTATCTTGTTTTATTCAAAGAACAGATACGTTACCATCTGAAAACCGATAAACCTATTATCGATAGGTTTGCTATTTCAAAAGATCAATTATGGCGAGTACTTTTACAAAACTTTTTCGTATCCTTTTGGTTTTTGGTTTCAGTCGACTACTTGAGCAGTAGAGCGATAAATCGATGCCCAATATCAGGCCTTATTCTGCTATCGATAAACATAATAGTAAAGCGATTGGGAACACTCAGCGCTAACAACGAGATTATGAGATTTTGAAAGGTTAATTTCGGCGAGTACTTTTACAAGACTTTTACGTATTCTTTTGTTTATTCGCCTCACTCGAATACCTGAGCACTTGAGCCATAAATCATATCGAACCCTTTTCAGTTATCAATAAACATTATAACACCTCGATATTTTTGAGTCTCTCTGCCTCCTCCCGACTTAACCTGCAGAGCTTTGAATAATCTGGCGCCTGTCAATCGATAAACGAGTTATCGATATAAAGAAATTAATCTACATAAGATTTAGAAAGGAGCTCAGCACTAATTACAAGCTGCTTGTTTATCTCTCTGCTTTCCACTCTAGTTGCTCTCCGCGTCCGCCTTCTCGCTAATCGATAACACCCTATCGATATATGTAGAGTACGTAAAACTGTCGCAGCGTTTAATTGAAGAATAGTTGAGAGCAGTGAGTCCTAATTAAGAGCTGCTTATTTCGCACTTGATTTCATTTCTCATTTCCCATTTTCTGTGTTTCGTAAAGCCCATTCGCATTGCCCCCGACCGAGACCCATTTACAGGGGCATCTTCATGTCAGTTGGCTTAATTAAAACTAATCAGGCAGCCTAATTGCTGTAAATGCTGGACGTACTGCGACTGAGATTGGGACACGGTTTGGGGTATATTTAGAGCAGGGACTCTGTGACCCTGTCCCTCCTCCCACACCCATTGTGTGTCCCCCCCTTTCTATCACTTAAGCGGCGTGTGTATCTAATATGTGTGAAAATTGTTGCTTATCGCTTGGCTTCATTAATTGGCAGCGTTGCAGCTGGTTGACTGGGGGAGCCTGAGCCTGAGCCGGACACAGAAGCGGGGGGGCGGAGGTGAGCGATTGCTGCAACCGGAGGGGGCACATTCAGAAGCGCACTTGGATCGCACAGCGCAAATATCTTTAGCTCTACAAAAGAATCATTTAACATGATGATTAAAATGCTGACGATGTTGATGATGTTCTTTGCAAAATGTTGAGCCAATTTATTATACCCTATGCCCACTGAAAATGGGTCAAGGGGGTATTCGCAGTTGCGGCTTATCGGAGTCAAAAGCCGAGTTTATCTCAGGGACTCGATGGGCGAGGAACTTGCTTTGCTTTAAGTTATCGATAATCTGCTTCGTTTCTATGAAATCGATAACAGTTTTATAAGGATATTCTCTATTTTTCGCAGCTTTCAAATGTTAGAGCCCAGTTTAGTCTAGTCTAGCATATATATTTAACTTTTCTGGGAAAATGTTTTAGTTCTTGTGTTATAGCCTGATTCCACTGTCAACATTTCTTAAATTTTTTGCGAACGTAACATTTTTTTCTTATGAGAAAAATGTTGCCTGTAAGTTTTCGCATAAAAAAAACACATATTTCACATTTGCGAAAACGAGTAATTCGTGTGCTTTCCGATAATTTATCGAATTTCTTATCGATTTTATGAAAAATATGAAAATATCATTCCCACAAACAGCTGATATAGCAAATTATAATTTAAAATTTTACTAATCGAACAGTTTTCAACATTTAAAGTTGGTCAAATCCCGCAAAGAGTCCATTAAATGGAGCTCCTACCTCGAGGCCGTATTATCTGACTTTTGGAGGGAAAACTTTGCGGCGCTTTGGCTAATCAAATTAAAGCGATTAGCTGTTTATTTAAAGAAGCGGTACTTTTGCCATTCACATGTTACCGACAACGGACACTTGCCAATAGAATCGCAGAATGTGAATGTTTGTAAATTTCATAAGGATCGAACTAGAAACATTGAAGTTATTGCGGCATGGCTTGACTTCCCAGGCATAGTATGTAGCCAAGGGAAGAAGCAGCATAGCCGTTGCTTGTCGGACTGTGTGTGTGTATAGATAGAAGGGACAGCTTGGGGGTGCGTATATCCTAGGGTATATCCTAGTCGGGCACTGCCGATTAGCGTACTCTTGTTTGGATTTTCGGACTGCAGCGCACAACAGCAACAAATTGTGTCAATAACACACATGCTCTCAAGTATGTGAGTGGGTTTGTCAGTCAGTCAGTCAGTCAGTCAGTCAGTCAGTCAGTCAATCAGTCAGGCAGTTAATGTAATAGAAATTGTACAACAAAAGACGCGCAATGACGACATGAAAACCCCCAACGCCAATTAGCAAGCACCCGCCCGCCCCGTCCCCTCAACCTTCATCCCACCACTCAGCCCTCTGTTCGCCTGCATCTTTCATCTCAATGGCCAATGCGAGCAGCGCCTAAGCATCACATGAAGTCGCCACACATACGCACACATACGCTCACACACACACTCACACACAGACTCGCACACACACCAGCAGAGCCCTGTGCGCTGTTTGTGAAAAAGCCAATCAAGCTAAATTAATAAAATATTACGTAGAATTCTAAATTAAATTGACGCGTGTGCGAAAAAAAAACACAGCTGAAAAGAAAAATACTTAGTAGACCAAACGAAATGTGTGTGTGTGTGTGTTTTTGGCTAAATGAATGAGTGTAGTGAAAGCTGGATGCGTTAAGGGGGAGCTTAAAGGGGACTCGACCAGCTTGATTGAATCTAACCCGGCCCTGGTCCTAGCCCCATGAAACCCGAACCTCAACTGAAGCTGAGGGCAATTATAAATTCGTTAGCCAAGTGGCAGTACACAATTTACAGATGTTGCGATTCTAAGCACTGTAATATTCACTTGAAATGCAAAGCATTCCAATTAAAGCGAAAGCAAAAACAAGAATGAGAGGTGCTTCACAGAGTTTTGTAAACAAACGAGAATTGAAATTTTCTATACGAGCTTTAGTATAATTAGCCTAGGAACTAGCTCTAATGTTGTTAATAGTTGAAGTTGGCTGCGCTCATTCCGATAAAAAGTTATCGATAACAACACTTTACAGCGAATATTAATTTTAAATGCTGAGCATTCCAATTAAAGCGGAACCAAAAACAAGAATGAGAGGTGCTTCACAGAGTTTTGTAAACAAGCGAGAGTTGAAATGTTCTATATGAGCACTAATATATTTAACCGAGGGACTAGCTTTAATGTTATAACAGTTAATAGTTGAAGTTGGCTGCGCTCATTCCGATGAAAAGTTATCGATAAGTTAAATTAAGTAGAACATTGCATAAATATTTTTATACTTTATTTTTGAGTAACTTTCTCTGAAGTATACTTTCTTATCTATATAAGAAAAACCTGTGCTGATTGAGTGATTGACCGGCTGCTGATTGACGACTATTGATCCACGTTCAATCTAAAGAGTTACGTAGCTGAAATTTTGAAAGAATACAAGAGCCAAGCCTTATCAAGATCCCATTACTATTTGTTATGGCTCTATAGACAGAATCGGTCGAAAATTGAGTTTTAGTATGGCAAAATATTTTATTTTCCAAAATATTTTTTATCAAACTCAGCATTTACGAGCTCACATGTCTTCTCTATGCATGTCTACATAAGGCAAATGTTTACAAGGGTATTAAATATTCGGCGTTCGGAAAATATCTATACTTTCTCGCTGTTTATATCCAATTGACATTGAACTCATTTCTGGCTATGTAGAAATTAATTGAAATCTTGTTTTACACTCTGGAAAATTGAACAAAAAAAGTATGAATTACATCTTTCACCGATTTCGGTTAATCCACCTTATAAGATCGGTGAATGAGCCAAAAAAAACCGCTGCTTAAAAGTTGATAAGCCTTAAACTTCTCTGAAGTCCAAACATTTCTAGCCATTTGAGTTTGTTATAGATTCGTTTAAGATGAGATAATATTATACAAAACTGAATACCATTTAGTATTCTCTTGGACTTTGTATTAAGTTTTGGAATAAATAAGGGCTTTTTTATGGCTATTGGTTTCGCAGCTTTAATGCTCAGAAAGACTATTAACTGCGCTCGTCTGTAAGAAATTTGCCTGTTAAAGACCTTTGATCCATTATTATATTATGTATTACTAGGTTAACCAAGATTCGAGAAGCTCTCGAGTTGTTTACCTTCGCTCTGAAATGGCATGTCGCTATTTTTGGCTGCCCCTTGCCTCAACAACAATGAATAGTTCGTTTGCGGATCGAGTCGGAGATCTCTTTACGATCGATCACGTGCTTAACACAAAAAGAAAGAGAAAAAAAAGCAGAAACTCGTTTGGCGTGACGCCCGTTAAATGTCGATTTGGTCAATAGATTTATGCATTTGTAATGCGCGAATGTTCTCAGAAGTTGTTAAAATGCCTGTAAAGTCAATAATCAGGTCTATGATTGAGTTGCCGACTGCCGACTTGAAAAAAAGTAGCTAAATCAAATCATAAAAATAGCTACACAAAGCTGCATTACCTAAGCAGAGTGATCTACAAAGCGCTAAACGGCAAAAACCTGCCGCTTTATGCGCAGTTTTCTTTTCGAGAAAGCTAGGGAAACGGTTAAATCAGCTAAAAAAATAGCCAGAACTGCAGGCACTTGCAAATTTGACAGGTTCCATGTTACAAACAGCCAATTCTAGCTAGAAGACGGCAGCACAAAGGTCCCAGCTCTATTTTACGAGAAAGCCAGAAAAAGAGCTAAATCAGCTTAGAAATAGCCAGAGCTTCAGACACTCGAGAAAGCTAGCTTTAAAATAGCCACAGCTGTAGGCACTTGCAAATTTCATGTTTTCTCGCTGAAAATAGCCAAATCTAGTTTTGAAATAACCATATCTGACTATAAAATATCTAAACTAGCAGACATTTGTAAATGCTAGCAAATATCAAGTTTTGGGGTAAAAAAACTCTAGCTAGAAAATGGCTGTTTGTTAAAGCTATCAAAAGAGCTTAATCAGCTTAAAAATAGCTAGAATTGCGTGCACTTTCAAGTTTTAACAGTTTTCTGATGAGGGAAATAGCCAAGTCCAGCTAGAAAATAGCTGTATTGATAACACACTGGACCTAGCTTTTTCTCTATCCACCTCTTTGGTATATTTAGGTTGAAAATAGCTAAGTCTATTCAAAAAATAGTTGGAGTTAAAATAGCTCTAGGTCTTTCTCTCTTTGCTATATTTAGCTTGAAAAATAGCCAATTCTAGCTAGAATATAGCTGAATTGGTAACACACTTTCTCTCTCTCTTTTTGCTATATTTAGCTTGAAAATAGCCTTGTCTTGCTAGAAAACAGCTGAACTAATAACACACAAGTCTTAAGTCCTCCCTTTATACTCTTCTTAGCTTGACAACAGCCAATTTTAGCTAAAAAAAAATAGCTGAATTGATAACACACTGGCCCTAGCTCTTTCTTCGCTGTTTTGGCAACACTGGCTCTAGCCAATTCTTTCTCTACCAGCTACCGATCTGCCTTTCCCCATTGTTTTCACCAATAATTGTTAAATATTGTAAATACATTCATTGTCAGCGACATTGAATTAAAATTCTTCCCACGGCTAGGGTTTCCCTTACCACTTTCCTTTCCCCTGCTCGCTGCGGCATTTCCGTTGCAAATCGGCGCTCTTTTGTGCTAATTGATTTTCACTTGACTTTTTTTTTCCAGGAGGATCTGTTTCTGGACGAGTTTGGCATTAAATGCGAGAAGGCCGACAACAGCGACAAGTGCTATAAAACACGCGTAAGTCTGCCCCCAAAACCGACCCGAAATGGTGTCAAGTGTTTTGACAACAGCCCCCAACAACCTACCCCCATTGCCCCCAACTCAACAAAAGGCCACAAAGTCGCGTAATTCGAAACCACCTTTGAACTTTCCCAGACAACGTGACTACGGACCGACCGACCGACCGACCGACTGACCGACCGAATGACCCATAAAGCACAACAAGAACAAATTCCCAGAAACCAGAAACGAAACGTATTTACGGCCCAAAAACCCTGACCAAAGGGAGTATACTAAAGCAAACTCACAAAAAAAAAAAATGCTCATGGAGCCGAAGATCAAATACCCTTCTGTAAAGCTCGTAATTGTTGAGTGCGGAGAAAATATCTTGAACAAAGAATTATATCAACGTTACAATGGATTCTACTTTTCTAAAGGAGCTAAGTATATGATATACTATTCTAATGATAACAGAAAGCAAGGATATGCATAAACAAATTCCAAAACAAGAGCCGAAGATCAAATACCCATCTATATATGTAACTTACAGTTCTGTAAAGCTCGTAAACGCTGCGTCCGGAAAAAATGTCTTCTACCTCTCTATGGAAGCTATATGATATAAGTAGTTATCCAATGATAACAGAAAATATCTTGAAAAACAAAAATACCTCTCTATAGAGCAATATGATATAGTAGTCCGAGGATAAACAAATTACCGGATAAGTAAAAACTATCGAAATGTGGGTTACATTCTCAAGCTGTTTGAGATTGACAGACTGTTCGCGAATATATAAATTTATTCCTATCAGAGATAACTCCTCTCTCTTTTTACATGTATGAGCACAAATGCCATATGCCCTTTTGAACACACTCCCAACAGTTACAGGGTATCAGAAGTGGCAAACTAGGGATACGCAGTGATAGGGCCATCAGGCACTTGTTTAAGAAAATCATAAACACATTCGATATGCAAGCCAGTTCTGTCTTACATGTATTTCAGATTAACCACAGGCGGTTGGGGGGAGTGACCTTTGATGTGATTAAGTTACCAAGCGACACGGCTGATCAGCTTTTTACTGGCTTTTAATTGTCGCCGTGTTCGTGAGCCACCGCTTTGCTAGTTACACACGAACTCAAAGTGCATCAGGCGGGGCCAATCGTACTCCAGCTCCAGACAGGAGAGGAAACCGTCGAACAACAATTGCAAACGCTGCTGTCGGCTCTCAATTAGTTTGCTTGCGAGGCATCTGATCCTGCGGTTAATTTTAGTTTGAGTTTTACAGCAATCCATCAGGGAACAATAATAGGGCTTAGCTAAGATTTAGCTTTGAGCTTGGTTAGCGTTAAGGACTTTCAGACTCGTACTTACCTAATAATAACATGGAATTTTTATCACGAAAAACAAGAGTAGTTAGCGAACATTAAATATATTTTTAGAGCATAGTCTAACAGCTCACTAGTTATCTGAAATGTGTATGCGCTGAATAGTGTGGAGTGTTAAATAGTTGAAATATGGAAATAGTTGGCTCCGCTTTTTATGCCTTGTAACCTATAAATCTACAATCCCATAAATCTGTCCAATGATCAACAAAAACAAAACAAAACCCTATGCCCGGCTTAACTAGCTATAGCTATATCTAAAATTTTAAGCACAAATCTGCCAAGGGCAAGGCCGGGGAATACCCGCTAGCTATATATATATATATATATATGTATATACATGTATGTATGTATATACATATATATATATATCAGTGCGTCGAGCTGAGTAGATTAAGCCATTATTTACTTGTATGAACGCTTCGATTTCCGGCACTCTAAGAGCTAAGATAAGTTCTCCTACTCCATACGCATATCAAGTCTATTTCTGACTATCGATTACTGCCATTCTTTTGTCCTTTATCGATAAATGTAATTTTGTTAGCTTGCAGATCGGATTATAGATCATGTGGGTCCTCCAAGGGCACGCGCAGTACGAATTTGCTGCCCATAATCGATGATTGGCCCAGTTTCCAAGTAATCGATAAAAATCGATATCGAAATTCTGTTTTTTGAGCAAATCTATAAATATAAGCCATCAAATTTTACTTAAAGCTTCTTGAATAGTATATATATATATCAAATATCGGGAACACCCGAAAAGAGCCTCTTACTTCATAAAGATAAAGAATTGTAGCCTAAAATACAGGGTATCAGCTAGTCCAGTCTTGATTTTAATAGTTCTTTCAGGCGAGGCTTAAGGCTGACGGAACTTTCAGCTGAATTTAGATAACCCTCACTTTCCCCTGCACCTCCCTGATAAGGGCGTCTATCTCAACAAATCTGATCGACATCTCTTTGCAGTGCAACAAGGGCTGTGCGCAATGGTATCGCGCGCTGAAGGAGATCGAGCCTTGCCAGGAGGCCTGTGTGAGTGACATCTGCAGCTGCAAGCTGTCTACCGTTCTAATGATAGCTTCTTAACTCCATTATATTGATAGGCTTCCACGCAGTTCTATCCGTACGACATGCCCTGCATTGGAGCCTGCGAGACGGCGCAGCGTGATTATTGGCATATGCAGCGCCTGGCCATGGCTCGGCTGGTGGAGACAACGCAGCCGCAGCTATTGGAGATGCCGGATGAGTCCAGCACACTGACCATTAAGTGGGCCATGCAGTTCCCGGAGAACTATTTGGCCAGTCGACCCTTTAACATACAATACCAGCAAGTGGAGAATCAGTCGGAACAAGCCTGGCACAATCTGGCGGACTACGACTGCGATGAGTACTACGTATGTGAGATTCTGGAGGCGCTTGTGCCCTACACCCGCTATAAGGTAGGTCATTGATATATTAACTCAAATCTCTGGAGATTTAAATTCGAACTCTGATCAGTTTCGCTTCGAGCTGCCCTTTGGCGAGAGCAGCGAGGATGTGCTCTATTCGCCAGCGACGCCTGTTTATGAAACGCCGATGGAGGGCGCTCCCATCTCTGCGCCCATTATCGAGGCACTGCTGGCGCTGGATGAGCATCATGTGGCCGTGCACTGGCGTCCCGGACGCTACAGCAACGCGCCCATTGAAGGCTACCGCGTGCTCTTGACCAGCGCAGGCAACAACAGCCGCGAGCAGGTACGTCACGAGCTCCAACTCTAGCTGCCAAATCTAAGAACCCCATCTCTACCAGCTGCTGCCTGCTGAACGTGCCAGCTGCATCTTTGCCCAGCTGCAGCCGCTCACCAACTACACCGTGTCGCTGACCATGATCAACAAACAGGGCGAGGGACCGTCCACGGTGGTCAGCATTGTGACCAAGGCGCCCCTAGAGCCGGAGCAGCTGCAGAGCGTGCTGCTTGCGGGCGAGCACAGCATCATCTGGCAATCACTGGAGCCAGCGGGCGAGACACGGCTCCTCTACAGCTCCGAGCAGACGAACATTAGCGATTTTACCTTTTCGCAGCGCGAGCAGCGGCTCTGGCTGCTGGACGAATTGGGTCAGCTGCACAGGTGAGCAATGTCTCACTTCAGCCGCTGTTCAATTATCTTTTGGAGAGTTTGCTTTTGTGAATATTTCCGAGTTGTTTCCGATCGGTTTCAAACTCAGTTTCAAAGTTCTTTCGAGAATTTTTTTTATAGGTGCCACGGGCAAGGCCGGGCTATGCCCACAAGTATCATATATACACATAGGTCGAAATTTCCCACTCCCATAACTCGGTCAAAACTCAACCGATTTTCATAAGGCTTATATTTTTCCTCATAACTTGGCATCTAGAACAATTTGGCATCTAAACCTGGCAACATTATTTCTGGTCAAAATTCGTGTAATAATGGTACCCTCAAATATCATATATAGACATAGGTCGAAATTTCCCACTCCCATAATTCGGTCAAATCTCATCCGATTTTCATAGGGTTTATCTTATTGTTCATGGTTTGGCCTCTACATCAATTTGGCATCTAACCCCGGCAACATTATTTCTGGTCAAAATTCATGTGAAAGGGGTACCCTCAAATATCATATATAGACATAGGTCAAAATTTCCCACCCCCATAACTCGGTCAAATCTCATTCGATTTTCATAAGGTTTGGCTTTTTGTTCATGGTTTAACCTCAAGATCAATTTGGCATTTAAAGCTGGCAACATTATTCTTGGCATTTTTAAAGATCTGTGAGATAATTTATTTTATAGGTCGGGCTAGGCCGGGCAACGCCGGGGTATACCCGCTAGTCAGTCATGTGTATATAGATTATTTTCAGTTTAGCTATAGCTTAAACTGCCATTTTTCTGTTTACAGCCAGCTGCTGGATGAGGCGACGTCAAGCCCTGCCCGGCGCCTGCGCCTGGAGCTGCCTACGAATGGGAGCAGCCAGTGGACGGTACGCAAGCTGAGCCTGGACTGGCTGCAGCGACGCCTCTACATGGCAGCGGAGGCGAGCAGCAGCGAAGGATTCGAGCTGTTTACCAGCAATCTGGAGGGCGGCGATGTGCAGGTGGTGGGCGTGCAGCTGGGCCTGGTCGTCGAACAGCTGGAGCTGGACGCCCTGAACGGCTGGCTCTTCTGGTGCGATGCGGAGAGCCTGTGGCGTCTGGATCTGAGCAGCAAGCAGCTGCTGCGCCTCACCCAGCCCATGGCCGCGGTAGCACCAGGCCGCTTTCTGCTGGAGCCGCAGCGCTGGCTGCTGCACGTGCTGCTGCCACAGGAGAATCAGCTGCTGGAGCTGAGCTACGATGGCGGTCACAAGCACGCGCTGGCGCTGTCCAACGATAGCTGGCGCAGATTCGCATGGTCCAGCGATCAGGCACAGCTGCTGCTGGCAAACGACACACAGCTGCAGCTGCTCGATGGACAGACGCTGGCGCCGGTTGCCAGCTGGCCGCTGCAGTCGCCCGACGGCGGTTGCTACGCGCTGCTGCCGCTGGAACGTCGCCGCCAGCCGCTGGCGCTGGAGCCGACCGAACCGCGCGAATTGCGCGCGCTGCTGGGCGCGCAGGCGGCGCACATAACATGGCAGCCGCCGGCAGCTAATCCCTACCAGACTTCAACGGCGGCCGCGCGCAACTACAGCTACGAGCTGGAGGTGCTGGACGTGGCCAGCCAGAGCGCCTATAACATACGCAACATACGCATGCCCCACTTCGGACTGGAGCGCCTGCAGGCAGACAATCTCTATCAGCTGCGCGTGCGCGCCAACAATGCGGCTGGCCGGGCGGGCGCCTGGACAGCGCCGCTGGCGACGCGCACCTGGCCGCTGGGCGATCATCGCCTGCGCTGGGCCACGCGTCGCGGCTCGCTGTACACCACCAATGAGCTGGGCGGCCAGCTGCAGCCGCTGCCCGTGCAGCTGGCGCAGTCGCCGGGACCGCTGGCCCTTGTCAATGCCAGCGTGGCGTATTACGTTAGCGGGCGGGAGCAGTCGCTGCACTGCGTCAATTTACTGCAGCCGCAGCTGAGCTGCTCCGACGAGCGGCTGGAGCAAGTGGGCGCCGTTGCCTATGACTGGCGCGGCGGGCTGCTCTACTGGACGGATCTGGCGCGCGATTGTGTCCAGCGTCTCGATCCGCTCAGCGGTGAGCGCGAGCTGCTGCCCATATTTGGTGCCCGCCACCTGGCCCTGGACTCGGCCCAGGGACATCTCTACTATTCGAGCGCGGCGCATCTGGCGCGTCGCTCGCTGAGCGCTCTATCCACCCAGCAGCCGGAGCTGGAGTACTATCATGTCAATGGACTGGCCGGCAGGATTAGCGGCTTCTGTCTGGATTTGCCGCAGCGTCACATCTACTGGCTGGTCGGAGGCAGCTCGGCGCTGCATCTCTATCGCACAGCTCTGTCGGCGGGCGGCAGCCAGGCCGCCGCGCCGCTGCAGCTGCTGGCGACGCTGCCGGCGGCAGACGCACTGCCGCACACGCTGCAGCACCTGGCGCCGCTGGGAGCGCTGCTCTGGCTGGCTGCGAACGGCAGGGGCGCGCATCTGGTGCGCCTCGTTGCCGCCGGCACAATGGTGCCGCAACAACTGGACACGGACGCTACCATGCGCCTGCTGCCGGAGGGCCTGGTCGAGCCGCTCAGCGCCGTGCAGCTGCTGGAGCGTTCGGCCGGTCCGCCGCCATCGCCGCCGGATGAGGGCGTGCGTCCACTTGCCGTGCCGCCGGACAGCGTGCACATCGACGAGGGCGGCCACTGGAATGACTTTCGCGTACGCTGGCAGCCGGCTTCCAGCGGCGGCAATCACAGCGTCTGCTACAAGCTGCTGCTGGAGCACGGCAGCGAGCGTCTGATCACGCTGGAGCTGCTCACGCCCTTTGCCCGGATCACACAGCTTGCCCAGGCGCCGCTCGGTCTGCGCATCAGCATCACGCCGCACACCGCCTGGCGCGCCGGACCCACCACCCGGGTACAGCTGGACACGCCCGTCGCGGCGCCCACCCAACCCCGTCGGCTGCGCGTCTTTGTCGACCGTCACGCGGCGCCGCTGCAGCTGGCGCCGAATGTGAGCGCTCTGCTGCGCTGGGATGTGCCCGAGGAGCATGCGGGCAGCCAGTCGCTGCAGTATCGCATCAGCTGCTGGCGCGGCAGCGAGCTGCACTCGGAGCTGTTGCTTAATCAGAGCACGCTGGAGGCGCGCGTCGAGCACCTGCAGCCGGAGGAGACGTATCGCTTTCAGGTGCAGGCCCATGTGGCCGCCACGGGCCTGGCCGCCGGCGCCACCAGCCATGCGCTGCACGTCTCGCCCGAGGTGCAGTCCGTGCCCCGGCTGCTCTACGCAAATGCCGAGCACATTGGCGAACTGGATCTGGATACGGGCGGCCGCAGGCAGCTGGTGCATACCGCCAGTCCCGTCGAACATTTGGCTGTGCTGCAGGGCGAGCAGCGTCTGCTCTGGGTCAACGAGCATGTGGAGCTGCTCAGCCATGTGCCGGGCAAGGCGCCCGCCAAGCTGGCACGCATGCGCGCCGAGGTGCTGGCTCTGACCGTCGACTGGGTGCAGCGCATCGTCTACTGGGCCGAGCTGGACGCGGCGGCCGGCGGCTGTGCCATCTATAGCCTGGATCTCTGTCGCTTCGATGGTCGCATTCTCCAAGGCGAACGTCTCTGGAGCACGCCGCATGGCCAGCTGCTGCGCGATCTTGTCGCCCTGCCGCATGCCCGCCAGCTCGTCTGGCTGCAGCACGATCTGGACTCGCGCAATGCCACGCTGCAGGGTCGCAGCCTGGCCAATGGCAGCGCGCTCAGCTTTGAGGGCGTCTCGCTGCCGCTATGGCGCCTCTTTGAGGGCAGCCAGGAGCCGCTGGCCGAGACCTTGAATCTGGTCGATCATTTGGGCCGGCTGTGCGTCTACCATGTCGCCCGGCAGCTGTGCACGTCCAGCGCTTTGCGCGCCCAGGTCAATCTGCTCAACGATGACATCGGCCAGCTGGCCCAGGATCCGGGCTATCTGTATGCTCTGCGCAATGGCAGCGTGCGCGCCTATGGCCGCCGTCGACAGCAGCTGGAGTTTCTACTGGATCTGCAGCCGGACGAGGTGCGTCTGTTGCGCGCCTACAACTATCAGGCGTATCCCAGTCGCCGCTGCCTGCTGCTGCCCACCACGGCGGCCGCTTGGCCGGAGCCAACGCCCAGCTGCGAGGAGACGCAGTGCAGCTTGCAGCTGCCGGCGCTGAGCGCCGCCGATGACTGCCCCCTGCCTGTGCCCGGCCTCAACTATCAGCTGAATGTCAGCAGCAGCGCACAGCCGGAGCTGCGCTCTCTGCACTCCGCCGCCGGCCTGACGCTCAACATAAGTCAACTGGAGCCCTATCATGTCTACGAGCTGCGTGCCCAAATTGGCAGCTACTATCAGCAGCAGCTGGGCCTGGAGCCGCTGCAGCTGCCCGCCCTGGCGCTGCACACGGCTGTGGCCACGCCCAGTGCGCCGCGCAATTTTAGCGGCCGAGCGCTGAGTCCCAGCGAGCTGGAGGTCAGCTGGCTGGCGCCGCTGGAGCTGCGCAGCGCGAGCGTCTACTACACGCTGCACTGGCAGCTGCAGCTGGATGATACCGAGGAGCAGTCGCTGGAGCAGCCTGCGCAGGAGCAGCGCGTGGAAACGGCGGGCGTGCAGCGGCTGACGGGCCTGCAGCCCGCCCGGCTCTATCAGGTCTGGCTGCAGGCGCATGCCACGCCCAGCAAATATAATAGCAGCGGACGGCTGCTGATCCGCAGCTATGCGCCGCTGCCGCCGCTGCAGCTGATCGAGCTGAACGCGTACGGGATGACGCTCGCCTGGCCGGGCACACCGGATGCGCTCAGTTCGCTTATCCTGGAATGCCAATCGCTGCGCGAACAGCTCCACTTCAATGTGGCCGGCAATCACACACAGATGCGGCTGGCTCCGCTGCAGCCGAAGACGCACTACTCCTGCCGCCTGGCCTTGGCGTATGCCGCCACGCCGGGTGCTCCCATTTACTTTGGTCCCAGTCATGAGTACGAGACGCTGGGCGATGCACCCAGTGCGCCGGGCCGGCCGCAGCTGGAGCATATTGCAGGCGAAATCTTTCGAGTCAGCTGGACGCCCGCTCTGGACAACGGTTCACCCATTTTACTGTACAATCTGGAGGCTCTGCAGGCCCGGCGCACCACTCGTCGTCGGAGGCGGCGGGAGACTACGCTTACCCTATTGCCCTGGGCCGAGGAGCCGCTGGTCATCGAGGATCAGTGGCTGGACTTTTGTAATACCACCGAACTGAGCTGCATTGTGCGCGAGCTGCACACCCGTCGCCTCCTGCTGTTCCGCGTCCGTGCCCGCAATCGGCCGCACGGCTGGGGACCCTACAGCGAGGACAGCGAACGCATTGCCGAGCCCTTTGTCTCGCCCGAAAAGCGCGGCTCCCTCGTTTTGGCCATCATTGCCCCGGCTGCCATTGTCTCCAGCTGTGTTCTCGCCTTGGTGCTTGTGCGCAAATGTAAGTTCAAAATGAATATTTTTCCGCCTTCGTCAATCGATCTGTCAATCAGTCAATCATTCAACTAGTCGGTCAGTTAGTCAATCTTTCAGTCGGAGAATTAATCGATAAGAAAATAAGTAGGTCAATAAGTATGTTAGTCAATCAATCAGTCATTTGATTGACCGATCGTTTTGTCAATCAGTTGACCAATCAATCGGTCAATTAATCGCGTTTTGCCATTCAATCAATCGGCTTGAAAATAAGTCGTTTAAACAGTATAAATCAGTCAGCTAATTAACCAGTGAATCCAGTTATCATTCAATTAGTAAGTCAGTCCGTAGTCAATCAACTATGATAACCAATCAATCCATCAGCTGGATAATTTGTCGTTTAATTTGTCAAGAAATCAATGGTAATCAAGTAATTGGCCAATTAATCAGTCAGTTTTGTAAAACTGACCTAACAGTGAATTGAAGGTTCATTAATCAGTCAGTCAAACGGCCAATCAGACACTCAATCATTTGGCCAGTTGATTATTACATCAGAAAATTATTAAGTCAGCTGGTCAGGCGGTTTATCACCCAATCACTAAGTAATCAATCAGGCAGATAAACAGTTAATCAGGCAGTCAGTTAATCAATCATAAGGACAGCCACTTAATCAAACTTACTATCTGTAATCAGTCTGCCACCAAATCAATCATGATTCAGTCAGTCAATCAGGCAATAATCACGCAGTCAATCAAAATGCCCAATGATCAGTCAGCCAGTCAGTAATTTTTAACTAAATCTACCAATCACAAGCCAGTCAATCAATCATAAAATCAATCAATTAATCTGTGAATGAGTGAGTAAATTAGCAAACTATTCAAGCATGAAATCAGTCAGACTGGGTGACAGTAATCACCTAATCAATCATGATTGAGTCTATCAATCAATAAAAAATCACGCAGTTAATCAATCAATCAGTGAATGAGTGAGTAAATCAATTAATTACTTTGCGAACTATTCAATTGAATATGAATATGAGTCAATCGAGTATGAGTAAGTTAATCATTTAATAAACACGTAATCAATCAATCAATCAATCAGTCAGTCACACACTTACGACACACACAAGACTCGCTAATGAAGTAAATTTTGCGATTTTGCAGTGCAAAAGCGTCGCCATCGCGCCAAAAAGCTGCTGCAGCAGAGCCGCCCGAGCATCTGGAGCAATATGTCGGCTCTGCAGACGCAGCAGCAGCTGCTGGCCGCGCGCAGTCGCACCTTCTCGATGTCGCTGAGCGATGCGGACATTGCGCTGCTGCCGCAGATCAACTGGAACCGGCTGACGCTGTTGCGTTTCCTGGGCAGCGGCGCCTTTGGCGAGGTGTACGAGGGTCAGCTGCAGGCCGAGGACGAAGCGCAGCCGCAGCGCGTGGCCATCAAGGTGAGTTGATCAACAGCACCCAACTGAATTGTCATGTAAAGAGCTGCGCTTTATTTTACAGAGCCTGCGGAAGGGCGCCAGCGAGTTCGCGGAGCTGCTGCAGGAGGCGCAGCTGATGAGCAATTTCAAGCACGAGAACATCGTTTGCCTGATTGGCATCTGCTGTGACACGGACTCCATATCGTTGATTATGGAGCACATGGAGGCCGGCGATTTGCTCAGCTATTTGCGTGCGGCACGGCCCAGCTCACAGGTAAGCAAGCACTTGCACTTATTATACCCTGTAGCCATTGTAAATGAGTAAAGGGTCAACTGTTTTTGTGAATATGTATGTGACACACAGCAGTTAGCATCTCGATGTATGTAATCTTGATCAGGAGGGAGCACCGTGTCGGTCTAGCCATGTCTGTGGGTCTGTCCATTTTATATCTCCTCTTGCTATCATAATATCGTTAAATATCGAGACAAGGTTTTTTTTTATTCATTTAATTTCGTTTATTTATTTATTTACGAGTGTCTTCCTTATTATTTAATACATCAAATTATGAAAGTTAAATACTAAAAGCCTTATTAGAGTACACAATTTGTCACTTTTTGGATGCCTTCAACCAAAATTACCCCAAAGTTAAAAGGATATTTAGGGATCCTCATTAATAAAGATCGGACAATAAACACCGAAGGCCTCGAGAATTCCATATCTAAAAATGTAAACCCGAGGGAGGAAGCTAGAGTGTATTTGTGTTGTGGCAGCTGGGTATAGGGTATCTTCTAGTCGAGCATTCTGATGCCATATTTACACGCTGAAAGTTTCATAAAGATCGGACAATAAACACCGAAGCTTCTCGAGAATTCCATACCCAAGCAAAAGTAGAGAGGAAGCTAGAATGTGTGCATGTGTCTACAGGATATCTTCTAGTCGAGCACTTCACTTAATCACTCTTATTGATGGCTCGTTTGCAGGAAGCGCTGTCCAAGCTGCAGCTGCCGGAGCTGCTGAGCATGTGCCTGGACGTGGCGAATGGCTGCAGCTATATGGAGGATATGCACTTTGTGCATCGGGATCTCGCCTGCCGCAATTGCCTGGTGTCGGATGGAGCGGCAATTGGCGGACGGCGAATTGTTAAAATTGGCGACTTTGGGCTGGCACGCGACATCTACAAGAGCGACTATTACCGGAAGGAGGGCGAGGGACTGCTGCCCGTGCGCTGGATGGCGCTCGAGAGCCTGGTGGATGGCCTCTTTAGCACACAGTCGGATGTGTGGGCCTTCGGTGTGCTCTGCTGGGAGATATTCACGCTCGGCCAGCAGCCGTATGCGGCGCGCAACAACTTCGAGGTGCTCGCCCATGTCAAGGACGGCGGACGGCTGCAGCAGCCGGAGCGCTGTCCCGAGAAGCTGTAAGTGGCCCAGCTCCTACATTTAACTCCTCTGTTCTCAATCAATGTCCTATTCATGCTGCCCACAGTTATTCGCTGCTCTTGCAATGCTGGCGCTGCGAGCCCTGGGAGCGACCCAGCTTTAGGCGCTGCCTCGGCACGCTGCAGGCCCTCAGCTCGGATTTGCGGCGCACCGAAATGCTGGCCACGGATGAGACGCCGTTGGTTTCCGCATTGAGCGCTAGCAAGCCGGACGCCAAGGTGCGTTTCGATAATGCGCCCGAGCGCCTCACGCTGCACTTGGACGCCAAAGATACGGTCAACACAAACGATACCGAAACGAGAGGAAGCCCCACCACACCCCCCATGCACACCATCACAACTGCAGTCATAACCACAGCTCCAGCCTCTGAGAATGGCCAGCTCTATGCAAATGAGGGCATTTCGCGCCTTTGAAATCCCCTTCATTTGGATCTGCCGCCGCCAGTTGCGGCGCCACAAATTGATGAACATTCGCATTCGCATGCTCGGGCGCACTCAACCATGTCACGCCCCCACGCCAAAATACCGCCCACACACATACGATTATGGGCTTAGAATTATGGTTTCTATTTAATCGATTTACTATTCTGTACTGAATCCAAACGCTAAACAAGACCAAAAGATGACCTCAACAAGTCTTATATGTAAATCAAATGGTTCTGTTTTGCGATTTGTGTTTTTTTTTTTTTTTTGTTTTTTTATGTTGGTATACCCAACTAGAAGAGTATGCGTATTCGAATATACCCAACTAGAAGAGTATGCGTATTCGAATATATGTTACAAGTAGCGAAGCAAGTATCGAACAATAAATACAAGATATTTTTGTAGAATTAGTCTTTATGTTTTAATTATTATACTCCGCCTCAATCAGGCTGATTGATATATTTTTAAGCTTGATTGATTGGCTAACGCACTGACTGATGATCAGTCAATCTTTTCGAGTATACGCTAATCGCATATAGCTTAGATTTGAATAATAAAAACGATATATTATTGTATATAACTTGTATATTTTGTCAATGCAAAAATCGAATGTATAAAACAGGTTTTTTTTCCGTCCCCAAACTCATTTTCATATGTATGTACATATATATGTAGGTATGTGAATATGTGTATGTATGTATGTATATACGTACGTACGTATGTGTGTATGCATGTGTGTATGTGTGTATGTATGTATGGGTGTATGTATGTATGTGTGTATGAATGTATGTGTCTATATGTGTATGTATGTAAATGTCTATATGTGTATGTATGTATGTGTTTATATATGAATATGTATATGTGTATGTATGTGAATATGCATGTGTAAATATATGTGTATATGTGTGTATTTATGTATGTATTTTTGTATGTATGTTTGTATGTATGTATATATGTGTGTATGCATGTATGTATGTATGTATTATGTATGTATATATGTTTGTAGGAATGTATATTTGTTTGCATGAAGTTATGCATGTGCGTGTGCATGTATGTGTATATGCAAGATCAAGCCGCGCTGCATATTCATAAAAAACGTATGCCCTACTACTCGATTCTCATGAATTCAAGTAAGTGGCATAGACTTCACTTCAGCTAGAGGAGACGGCGGCTTCGACTGTGGAGGAGACGGCGACTCAAGCAAAGGAGGAGGCGGCTTCACTTAATGAGGAGACGGCGTCTTCAGCAAAAGAGGAGGAGGATTTAATATGGCAGAAAGCGGCTTCAACTATGGAGAAGACAACAGGTTTTTAATGAGAAGACGGCGGCTTGAGCAAAGGGAAGAAGCGGAATCAATTATGAACAAGACAATGGTACAATTTGGTACGTATTAAAAATTATATGTTGGTTTGTATGTAATTTAATACATACATTCATTTATACTTAAATATGTGTATATGTAGAGCTGAGTTAAACAAAAAAACGTATTTATAAAAATATCCTTTCTACGCGATTCTCACTTATTCATGTAAGGCTTGGCAAGCAAACAAGCTGAACATTATCTCTGCTTTTCTGTTCTTTCAGATATGTGTTTATATAAAAGTTCATATCCCGCCTTCTGATAGATGACGATAAAATAATCGTGCGTGGGAAAATACAGGTGAGTACTGAATTACAAACATATATTAATCTCTATATATAAAACTATTTGTCCTGACTGACTAATTGATTGGTAATCAACGTTTTTTCATCTGATTCGTTGTAAACCAATTTTAAGAGCCCTTCATAAGAGCCTAATGTTTCAGCGATTTTGGAAATTCCACCCGCAGCTGTGAGTACATCATAAAAAGGTGTGCACCTAATTACAAATATATATTTTTCTTTATTTGAATATATAAAAGTGACTGACTGACTGACTGAGTGATTGACTGATTCATGATTAGCGCACAGCCCAAGCATTAAGAGCTAGGAAGCTGAAATTTAAACTGTAGTTGCCTTTCTTGAAATTCCACTCGCAAGAGTGGAAAAACCGCGTAAATCAATTGTAAGTTCATAATAATGAGAGGTGTTTGGTGTGTGGTATAAGAAACGATGTCGTCCTTCTTGTCTTTGTCTACTTTCTACAAGTATATATATCTATATATAAATGTACTTCATGTCTTTGAGGTTTCTTAGGAAATAGTAATCTCTATTGAAGGGCGTTCGCCCTCGACACCCTCATCCCAGCTAAATGCTGGCCAAGTAAATAGAAAATCAGCTTTGAGAGCAATTAGAAATTGTGTCTTAGCCATCGGCTTGGGCTTAAATTTGTTCCTGGACACGCGCCGCGGCTTAGAGGCGCCACCGACTGGACATTATTTTAATTTCATTAAAATTTTTTTCGCTCTTTATTGGACGACAAAGTTTTGCTCGCTGCCATTTCTTTTGCAGCGTTTGTTTTTTTTTTTTGTCTCTCTCCTTTGTTTTCGGAAAAGTTGTGTGGACTTGGCTCGTGTTTTATCCATACTTTCAGAGAGAGGCGCATAATCAAATTAAATGTGACTTTGAGTCAAAGTTGTGCCAAAGGCTTTCCAGTTCTGGGAGCTCTCCCTTCTCTCTCTCTCTCTCTCTCTCTCTCGCTCTCTCTCGATTACAAAGGTGCGCCAACTAAAGAGCTCTTAATATCCCGCACAAATACACCCAAACACACACACACACACACACGCGCGCACACCTTGCTATGTCTACCCATCTCCAGATACGGTCCCTTCCCCGCATTTATCTCCAAGACCAGCGATACTTTTGCCAAATGATTTGCTTGAATTTTTGCATATGCCTCGCATCGAATTTCACAAAGCAGCGCTCAAGTTGCCTGGCAACGAGCGGTAACAGGGGCAGCGGCAGCGGCAGCGACAGGGGCAGGGGCAGGGGCAGGGGCGCAGCCGAAAGGGGCTCTGTTTGTGCCGCCTAAATAACAAATTGTAAATAGCAGCGCATAAATCGATTACCGGCGCGCCTTTCCGCCCCGCGCCCTTACTTGCCGAAACATAAATAAACCATTTTTAATATGCGCGTAAGCAGTTTTCTTTGCATACCCTAGCAGCTGACAGCACAGGGTATATTCGTTTTGCTATGCATCTAAGAAGAGATCTATTAAAATACATGGTTTACTATTAAACTAGCTTTTTTTACCAGGCCTGGTCTGGACTAAAATTCTTCCTTCAAATTTTAGAAAAACGGAAAAATTTTCCACTTATTTTCCACCCGAGGAACTTTTGTGGTTTCAATATTTATTTGCTTATTTTATGTATATTGAATCAGCAAAAAAAATAAGTTGAAGCCAAAGTTGGTCGATAATAAAACTCTCGTGCATTCAACTTTAGAGCTTAAGTTTAATACGGCTTTTGTTTGCCAATTTTCCATTGTTGCGGGTGGAATTTTCAAGAGCGCTGAAACACGTGAAACTGATTGGACAATGCTTGAAGTTTCGGGAGAAGCAGTGAATTTTCTGAAAAGTGTGAAACACGTCAGACATGAATATTAATAAATTTTTAGGCTGAAATTTAGGCTCATTTTCCACCCAGGAAGGTGGATTTGGTGAAATGTGTGAAGCACATCTCATATACATTTTTACAAAAATGTATCGCTTTTTTTTTTTGCTTAGGGTATTTGGAAGTCGAGCATAGCCGACTCAAGCTGTGTTAAGTTGCGCGTTTGCTTTACTTATTTTCTTTATTTCCTTAGCCGCGTGCGAATGGGCGGCTGGGCGGCTGGGCGGCAGGTTCGTCTCGTTGACTTTCCATTGATTTCGCTTGTTGGTTTTTCGGGGTTAGACTATAATATCCCGTACAGGGTGGGTCGTCCCGTTCCCTTCCCCTCCTTTTGCACGCCCACAACCATTGCTCTGAGCTTTTGAGCGCTCGCGCGGCAAGGATTTAATTTTATTACCTTGCTGCGTCTCCTGTTGACTTATTATGCCGATATGATTAAGTGGTTCAGTGGTGGAGCGCGCTGGCGGTGCTCCGTTGAGCTACTTGAAGTTTGGCTTACGGTGCGAACTTTGTGAGGGGCTGCTTAGGCAGTTGTTGGGGACGGGCGGGTTGGACGGCTTAGGCAGTTGACTATAATAGCGAAATTTTTGGCCTAATTGCGAAAATATGGCTAAGCGAGACAGAAAACGTTAATCGTTATCGTTATCGCTATAGTTATCGTCAGTGACATCGTCATCGCTATCGTTATTCTTATCGCTTTTGCTGTTTCCCATCACTATTATTATCGTTTTCGTTATCGCTATACTTATCGTATTAGCAATCGTTATTATTATCGTTATCGTTATCGATGTTAGTTTTTTCATATCGTTATTGCTTTAGTTATCGCTATCGTTCTTATTACCGCTATCAATTTTTCTGTCGCTTTTATTATCGTTATTGGCGTAACTATAGTTATCGTCATCGCTATTGTTATCGCTATCTCCATAGTGATTGCTATCTCTCATGTTATCGTCATCGCTATCGAAAGCACCATAGTTATCGGTATCGCTATCGCTACTATAATCGTCTTAGCTATCGATATTGCTATAGTTATCGCTATCGGTATTGCTATAGCTATCGCTGTTAGTATCGCAATCGCTTTTTCTATCGCTATTATTATTGATATCGCTATCGCTACTGTGATCACCATAGCTATCGATATCGCCATAGTTATCGCCATCCCTATCGCTATCCATATCGTTTTTGCTATCGCTTATAATTATAGCTATCGATACTGTTATCGGCATCGCTATCAATAACGCCATAGTTATCGCTATCGCTATCGCTATTGTTATAGTCAAAGCTATCGTTATCGATATCTTATCGCTATTCTTATTGCTATATTGTTATAGTCGTCGTTATCCCTATCGTTATACTAATTGCTATCGCTTGTTCTTTCGCTTTCATTATTCTTATCGCTATCACTACTGTCATTGTTATCGGTATCGTTATCGCTATTCCTATCGTCGTTGTTATCGTTATTGACCGGCTGCTTGTTAGTCCCTTTTGGCTGGCCACGAAATCTGTTTAGCTGACATTAAATTTAATTTTGATTTTATTGAATTTAATTTTCAAGCAACTTTGTACCATAATATAGCCACGCCCCCAGTGCGCCTGCAGCCTTGAAAAATAAGTTATAAACGCGGCTGCACCTTTGGCCGGAACGAAGAAGAAGAAGAAGCACTTAAAATTTGCCCTCAACTCTGGCACAATTGATTGAAATTAGATGAGCTTTTCATAATACACGACTTAGCTGTGCGTGTGTCCTTGTTGTGCGTGTGCGTTTTTCCATTAAGCCCCACTCTGGCCCCGCCTCCCGTCAGCCGTCACCCGGGCAAGGCATTTTCCTGCAGTTCCATCTGGCGTGCAGGTCTCTCTTGTATAAAAGTTGCTCTTATTCTGGGACGGGGACAACGCTAATATCCTTCAAGCTGCCGCTGCTAAATTGGTTATTAAAAGAGTCAACTAGTTGAGTTGCACAGGCAAAGCCATAAATAAATTGAGTGGCGGTTGGTTCCCTTTAACGGGAGCCCCAGGATTCACTTATGCCACATTTCCAGCTAAAACTTAA